TGCCCCCAACTCAAACCACAACTCGTTGGTAAATAATCGATGAAATAGTTTGTCTGGACACATTCAAGTTCCTCTCATTGTCACCTTAAAGCTGTGAAAATTTGGTGTTAATCCGACGACAATAAGTATACGTTATTTTTTGTTAAAGACCTTGTATTTTGAAAAACATAAACTCCTAGAAAACGTCCATGAAGTAACAGCAAAGATTTTCAAGCTTGTTTATCGGCACAATCAATTTGTTTTCCCATCAAGGTCTGTTTTAACATGTGTAGGGACATCCAAATGTGTAAGGCTATTGGAAACCAAAAAAATAAAGGAATGGGATAGCTATATTTGGATAAATTCAGCATATGAAAACACCAAAATCAATGATTTTTTTCAGTGGCTGTGTGACCTTGTGTCTGACACATTCATATGCAAATGAATAATCTGTGAAACAAACAGGGGCGGAGACAAACCACTCAAATGTTTGGAAACACTCATTGTGTGTCAGATAGCTACTGATAACACATCCTAACATAGGCACACAGATTAAACCTGTATTGTTGATTTTGGAAAACACTACTGAGGCTGCCTTGCTTTCCTTCAGAAAATCTACATTTTAATCAACTTACATGACATTCTATGTTATGTTGACTTTATCATATGAAAGTTTATAGTGCATTTCATCAATTAATAAATAAATGTGAAAATCGTAATTTTCAACACAAATAATAGTCTCGCTACCTTAATGCAGGACCAGAAACAAAGCTTTTTTAGCCTTATATTAGTCAGTAACAGTAATAGTGTTATTACAGTATATATTTTATGCAATATTAATTATTAACAAGGACAGTATCATTTTTGGTCACTGTACCTTGATCGTCGTCATCAGAATAATTCTCTTCAAACATAGTGTCTTCAATTCCTTCTCCCTCTCCATTGGCTACCTGTAAACACAAACACAGTTAAGATATAGGATAATCACAACAGCGGTTTTATTTCTAAAGAGCACGTAATACTGTAATTCTGAAATCACTGCAACCAGAACTACAGCAACCTAAACTATACTTATATACATTAGAAAAAACATACCTTGCTGTTGTTTTCTGTCATCGTGTCATCGTCACTGTCAGTCTCTCGCACTACATCAGATGTCACTGAGTTGTCTGATTCCATGATTGGCGTTGCAACATGCATTGTACTCTCGGGTTCAATCTGAAAATCAGTAAATAGTAAATATAAAAACCCTTCGATCAAAATAGCATGTACAATTATTTATACTTAGTATGGATGAATGCAATTTTGGACTGTCAACTTCTTTCCTGTCACTTGTTAATTTGACAATCAGAAGAAAAAACATGGGGTAACCAAACTACTTTTTGAATTATGAACTTTTGTTGGATGAATTTTGACTCAAATTGATTCACAGAAATGTTATATTGTAAAATGCTTTATTTTTGCTGAAGGAATGATTCAGTGAAAATAAAATCCAGTGAATATACCTTTTTCAACTTATCAAAAATTAATGAAAATAAATTCCATACAAAACACCAAAAAAGTCTTTTCAGCGAAAATTAATTCCAGCTAAAATAAAGTATTTTACAGTATTTCAGTGTAACACCTCTATAAAACAAACACCACAGTAAATCAAAAAATGTTCATAGTCCCATTGGTTTAAAAGGATTTCACTGTACTTGTATGCAGATTCAGTTAATCTCACTTTATATGTATACACCCCACACTTTTGCTTAAATGCACAATTGGTTAGTGTATTTAATCAGATCAGTCAAACAAAATGACATAAATTAAAGCCTCTTGAGGTTCTATGGGTACATCCATTCAATATCTGATTTTAAAATAAATGGTAGCAGCCAGTCCGAGTGTCATTGTGAAAACGATTCCAGGTACAATTGAGAGACGACTCCAATGGGCAAGCAAATGGATGGACAAGTCCTAAATCACACAATCTTTACATGGAAAGTTTATTATTTTTTTTTATAAAGAGACAATAATAATATAAATCCAACTGATGTGATTATTTGTGACGCAGACATCGTCTAAAAGTGAGGATTTTCGATCTTTGAAAGAAGCATGCAACTGATCAATACAAAGAATAGGTTATTATGTGTATACACACCTGGCGCAAGGTAAAGTCTCGTGCAGGTTCCATCTTTGTCTGTTACAAGAAATAAAATAACAATTATCAGGAGAATCAGGAGACAATCATCTTATTGACTTATCAAAGCTAATACTAGTACAGTATCTTACAGTATCTTAAATATTATCATTATAATAATGACATTGTGGTCATCATCCCTAAGTTTTAATCTAGCCATAAAGTATACTTACCTTATCCTCAAATGTGATTTCTTTTCTTGTTTTAGTCCCTAATTGGTCAGTAACCTCAGCTTTAGGTTTTGTTCTCTGAGAAGCTTCAGCTTTAGTCTTTGTTTTCTCAGAAGTTTCAGTTTTAGCTTGTTGGTGCTCACTAGTTCTAATTCGTGGTTTGGCTGTAGGCACAGAGCTCTTAGTTGGTGTAGATGCTGCTATAGGAACAGCAGACTGTTTGATGGGTGTCTCGATGGGAGCTGCTGCTGTTACTGAAGATGGCACAGGTTGTGAGTCTTTCAGTGTGGATTTAGTCACAGCCTGCTGAGATACAATATATAAACACAAGAACATTTAGCAAATAAATACCATATTTACCTTATTAGTAGCGTATACTGATAGAATAGTGACAGTTGTCTGTGATCAAGGTAAGTGATATTTTAATTATGATCTCCAGATGTCCTAGTCATACTTCGTAGTTATTCCCCCAGATAATGACTGCACAGTACAATAGTGTGGTGAAATATTTAGAAAGTCAGAAAAAGATTTTGACCAGTAAGTCACATGCACTAGTAATGATTACATGTATAAAGGTGCTTACCTTAGCAACTGATGTTTGTTTAGGTGGGACATAAGTATACTGCCATTTCATATGTACATCAAGGGTACCATTACCTTTACCATCAGCCTATCACAAAAAAATACGGAATTAAATCCCAACATTTTAACTTTCTATACGTTCACACCAATTAGATGATCATCGCAACGTTTTAAATGACAATAATCCAAGCAAAAGTGAAGTGGTATTGAAGGAAGATAACATGATATAAACTTACCGTCTTCAATTCAAATGTTCCCTTAATTCCTTTACCATGAGCCAAGCTGATGAGTGGAATTTTAGCCAAGCCTAGGTAGGATTGTTCTTCAGGATCAGTGTCATCAAATACATACACTGTGATATGCTGGAAAAATAAACATGTTTTTTTACTTGATACTGACAATAACAAATCAACTATGGGTTAACAGTTAATATAATAATGAATTATTATTAATTTGGTCAAACACCATGTTGACATGTTTGATAGTGTTAGGAGGAATTTGAATGTCTTCCTTATTTGAAAATGTGGTTATATTTACGTCACATATTAATGTATTTCGTTGTTTACATTAAACACAGCAACATATTATTGATTAACTGAAATGGAATCATATCACTTAATGCAAAAGTTATGCAGACATGAATGCTTTTTGCTAGTGTCATCTCACTGAAATATGAAATCAATACAATTTAAGCAGAAAAAGATGATAGTATATGATAATAAGAAAGTTACTATGAAAGTTCTGCAAAGTATGCTTTCAGGCGGTACAGGATCACATTGACTTCTGCTATATGTCAGTCAATACAATCACCATACTACATTTACACTTACCGGGTTCTTCCCGGTATTCTTTTACAATGTAAACCACTTTTTATCTGGTCTGAGACGAACTTTTGCGATTCACAGAATTTTGTAATTTTGTTGTCATTGTCAACATTTTGGTAAACAAAATGTACCATATTTGTCCTAATAGTAACTCATGCACTAACATACATTACAACATATTAGTAATTTGAGCTTCTATAGGGGATGTGCTTGTAAGAGGGGATGTGCTTGTAAGAGGGGATGTGCTTGTAAGAGGGGATGTGCTTGTAAGAGGGGATGTGCTTGTAAGAGGGGATGTGCTTGTAAGAGGGGATGTGCTTGTAAGAGGGGATGTGCTTGTAAGAGCAAATTCTGTAATGGTTGACAGTTGCTGTACATCAGGAAAACTTAGCTTTAATTTCTTGTCAGATCACATACAATTCTTTTTAATACTTTAAAATTTCCAAATTTTTATCTCAAGAATGTTGGTGATATACAATTCATATATTTTTATGCCATTTTCTACATTTTCAGACGAAATGGATACACATATTGATCAAAATGTTTAATATAGGAAACATTATTTGGGCTTATTTTGTGAAAGGCGACAGAAGTTGGCTGTTTAAATTACAGACGTATTTCATGGGTGTACTAAAAACTGGTGGGTCTTATTTGCGTGGGGGTTACATATGGTGAATGGTACATATTTCTAGTATTTCACTGAAGTTTACAGCCGTTCAGAGAATTATTCGGACAGTCAGTTAGCAAAATGACTTGCAACTTTGCAAAACACTTTCGTCTTTGCCCAATCTAGACTTTCGGCGCCGCATGAGTGACGGGCGCGTGGTTTGGGATTACTTTTTTATAGGGGTTGTCGGCTTGGTGAATTGTAAGTATTATCTAGCGTGCGTTCACAGCAACCATTCGTTATTTTTTATAATTATATTGTAATTATTTTCAGTAATTTTGAAAAATGTCAACCCCTCACTCATTTTAGTCAGTTGTACCTGTTACAAAAATGGACTAAACATAATAACGGTCGTTATACCCCGTAATTATCAAACTGCAGTTGAAAAAGTGATTCGATCAAAGAAGGCACTTTTGATTTGACAAAATCCATCAAACCATTATAATCGAGTTTTCCGTCTGTGTATCCCTGACGTACTCACAGCACCAGTAATGTAAAAACAACTTTTAGTTTGACCCAAAACTGTCGCGAAACTGCAGCGCATCCCGCTAAGAAACTTTACTTTGAGCCTTGCCGCCAACGACGAGTTCATTACTGTTAAAATCCTATTATAAACCGCATACCTAATAGTAACCGCACCCCCGATTTCGGCTTCAGTGTTAAAGAGTTCTCAACAAAAATTGAAAACATGAAAAGTACCTATTACTAACCGCACCCCCAATTCAACAAGACAGTGGCCGACTTTGTTTCAACGAGCTGGTACATTGTTCCTAATCCTATTTATTTGTTTCGACAACGTGCCTAAAAATATTCACACCTCTTTATTGTTCAGTAGTGTTAGGATGTCATACACGCAGTGAAACTGCTTTTGTCTTGTGACAACTTTTGTCAATACTCCTTATGAATACGTCCGTGTGTCGCAAGTTTTCGACAATGAGCTGTTCTCACCGAAAAACTGTTAAATTCTATTTCAATGCTCAGTTTATCTTTCGAAAACAACTAATTTCTTGATTTTTCCTATGGAAATCAAAGCCAAAAGATCGCACTACATTATCGGTAAATCGCTTCCAGGTTTCATTCACCATGAAGTCGGTGACTTGTCATTAATATATTTAAATGAACTAAGGTAATTTGAACACGTGGGCACCATCCAGCATTTTGTGTGATAAATTAGCGACCGGTCAAGTAATGTCTCGTTTGCATTCAAACTACATGGCGAATGTCGCATCGATCGTTTACATGTGACCGAAATAATTCGCTTACGGTGAAACTAAGTTGAATTTTACTTGCATTTGATAACAATTCAACGAATTTATTCTTCGTGCGTTGTTATAATCACTACTGAGTAATAATCAACAATTTCAACAGTTCGAAAACAAGTAAGTTATTCACTTGTGAGCCGAAGCATGGCCGGATTGCGTTACCATACCCACAGTACCGTACTTTTTTAGTGCCGTACCATGATCATTTTCTACTAAGCAATGCATTAATGTTTGTTTTTATTTGAAACTCCTGTCAGAATATACTTTCCGTTACGAATAAAAAAAAAAAAAAGCATATTACATTAAATATACCGAGTATTTTTTTTTCATGTGAACAGTGACGTGAGGCTTATCACTCTTCCCTGACATCTAAATTTGAGTTACGCTTATATTCAAAAGATTGTACGGTGTATTGTTTGTTTTGTGCGAGTGATGTGGGAAAAAAATGACCACGCCCATTTAGTGATTGCAATATGTCCCTAATATAAACCGCACCCTGAACTTGAGCTGTTGATCCCAATTTTTTATTTGATACATTGTAATATAAACCGCGGTTTATAATGGGATTTTAACGGTAATACCTGGGGTTACTCAACACTCGGGAGTTGTTTTGTAAATTACGCTGTGTCAGGTGGACTCAGATGGTTATAACAATTTAAAATAACACTTTGAATGCATATACAACATATACCCTGTTAATATATGGTAACCAACGTGTGTCATTTTGAGGAATTTTTCTGTCAATGTTTAAAGAAGAAAGACATCAGATGGCAGATACCATGGCAACTTAGTGTGACTTTGCAAAGTGATTGTGTTCAGTATGTAAATATTAAATAGCATACAGGTATACGAGTCTACATAGGAAGTACTTAGTACTAATTATTAATATACTGCTATAATTATTCCCCAGCACTAAAATATGCTAATGCAACTATTTATGCGTTTTTTAATGAGGTCACATAACCACATATGATTATTTAATATGTTTGTCAGATCTAGTGTATAATGTCTTTGATATAAAACTGTGTGAATATTTTTATATACAATGGTGCTCCTGTCATGTCTCTGTACAGATATACTGTTGCATGAACGTACTGATACTGGTAACAACTATAATCCCTACCGACAACAAGCCAAGGGATAATAAACATGCCACAATACAATAGATGAGTAACATTATTATTAATAACTCACCTCTGTTCTAAGATATCTATCCAGGTCCACATTCATTGGCACAGGGAATAATTTACTATCGTTAAATTCAGGTTTATTAGAGTTTGGAATGATGACTGTATCGTGATCTTTGAAATCAAAAAATCTGTAAATACAATAGGAACTGGGTTGCACACCTGTAACAAAAAACACATATATTAAAATGTAATTATTATTTAGTCAACGTTGTTATTTTATTATTAGTTAAATGGCAAGCTATTCAGTCAAGGGCAAAAGTGCCTCCTAATTGACTGTGAATAAGAGAGAAAATTATTAGACTATACAACAACAAAATGAAAATGAATGAATGAATTGATGGATGAATGAGTGAATAAGTGAATAAATGAATTAGTGAATGAATTATTAGGTATAGGAATGAATCAGTGAATGAATAATTAGGTATAGGAATGAATCAGTGAATGAATAATTAGGTATAGGAATGAATCAGTGAATGAATAATTAGATGTAGGAATGAATCAGTGAATGAATAATTAGGTATAAGAATGAATCAGTGAATGAATTATTAGGTATAAGAATGAATCAGTGAATGAATTATTAGGTATAGGAATGAATCAGTGAATGAATAATTAGGTATAGGAATGAATCAGTAAATGAATTATTAGGTATAGGAATGAATCGGTGAATGAATAATTAGGTATAGGAATGAATCAGTGAATGAATAATTAGGTATAGGAATGAATCGGTGAATGAATAATTAGGTATAGGAATGAATCGGTGAATGAATAATTAGGTATAGGAATGAATCAGTGAATGAATAATTAGGGTATAGGAATGAATCAGTGAATGAATAATTAGGGTATAAGAATGAATCAGTGAATGAATAATTAGGGTATAGGAATGAATCAGTGAATGAATTATTAGGTATAGGAATGAATCAGTGAATGAATAATTAGATATAGGAATGAATCAGTGAATGAATAATTAGGTATAGGAATGAATCGGTGAATGATTGATTGATTGAATGAATGATCGAACGAATGAGTGAGTGAGTGCATGAATGAATTAAAATAAGTGAATGAATGAATGAATTAAAATAAGTGAATGAATGAATGAATTAAAACAAGTCATTGAAAATGACACAGTCCCCGTTAAGTTCTCTTTGTGCTCGTCATATTAAAGCGGAGTGGTTGTCGCGAGCGTGTCCTTGAAACTTGAGTTCCAAGTGGCGTATACAACAGATTGTTTATTTACATCAAAACACTTGTTTCGTGTCATAGTAATATAGCCAAAATAAAAACAGCCGTTATTCAGCCATCTTTGATCTGATTATGAAACACACTGATATGTATGATGCATGTGCCGAATACGAATGAAAATGGTACATAAATTGTGGAAACATAGTAGTAAGGCCAAAAAGTCAGATGGCTGTCAATCGGCCATCCTTGACCAGATTTTGAAACAAATTGTCATGGACATGCATCCTAACATGTATAAAGTACATGTATGTGCCAAATTTGAATGAAAACTGACAGAGCACGTCCAAGATACCGCATAAAAAAACAAAAACAAGATGCCTGCCAGTCGACCATCTTTGATCCAATTGCGAAATAAATCGTCATGGACATGTATCCTAACATGTACAATCTATGTACCAAGTTTGAATGACAACTGACAAAGCATGTCCAAAATACAACATTTTCAAAAAACAAGATGGCTACCAGTCGGCCATTTGAATGGAATCGCTAAACCACTGCATGTGCATATGTC